GCCGCCGGGGTACGCGGGGAGGGCACCTCGGCCTCGCTCGGTTGCGCCCGTCGCAGGCTGTTTGCTTTTTGCCCGCAGTATTTACCAAATTCATAAGCTTGCAGGAGGTTAAGCAACAGTATTGCCCTTTAGCAGAGGCACTTTGCAGCTGAAAAGAGTGAAGTTTTGTGCCAGCCATGCTGCGAGGAATCGGTCCTGCCCAATAACCAGGCAGACTGAAACAAAACTTTTACCAAAGTAAAAAGCTGTCTGGTTTCTTCATTTGAGTCATCCTACTGTAATATTTGGTGAGTAGTCACTCCTTTCCTAGTAGTCCGTCGCAGGAAATTATGAAGTGTTGCAAAGTTGTAATTTTGAGTTTTCACAGCCATGTTATCTGTGGTTCGGGGTGCTCGAAGGCTGCCTTGAGGCACGGTAGAAAAAAAATTTGACTTTTCATGAACTTGTTAAGTTAGATAAATCAACTCCTCTGCCTGTTTGTTTTTAGTGATGGGGACTAAGTGAAGTTTAATAGCCATGTTGTGCTTCATGAGTCATAAGAGGAGTATATCTTCTGCATTTAGACTTCCTAAAGGACTGAGTTTATTTTCAATTAAACTGCTTTATGTTAGGGATAAGTTCAGTGAAACAGCTTAGATCAGTGTAAACCCTTATATCCTGGAAAGGAATGAAGTTTTTCTTATATATGGGAATACTGTAAGGCCAATTTTATACCTAATCATGAGCGTCTTTCCCACTTTTGAAATACTTATATCTTAAGGCAGTAGAAAATTGATATGAATCTGATAATAAATAAATCCGGGTGAGCCAGTGTTGCAGCAAAACACTCTTTCCTTTGCTTGCTCAGATCTTTGAAAGGTTCATCCAGCTTGAAAATGTCTTTAATAAAGTTGTAAACTTCAGATCAGGCTAGATGCTCAAAGCCTTCTGTCCCTAAAATTTAGATGTAAGCAGGAAACCTGTATTCCTTGTTACACATTAGTGGAATGGTCCCAAAGATCAGAGCTTTCATTCTGACTCAGTAGTTCTAGAAGGGGGGAGGAAAGAAAAAGCAAAACAATCCAGCTCCTGGAACCTTGAACAGATACAAGCTGGAGAGCCTGGGAGATACTTCAGGCGGAGTCTGGTCAGGCCCTACGTGCTCACCTGGCACACCGGGTGACCTCATGGGGCTGGAACGGGTGACCGGGCTCTTGACGTGTGCCCATGGCTCTGCCCTCTCCCCCTGCCCCTCTGCATCGCTTTCCCCTCCCTTTTTAGATGACACTTCCTGTTTTCCTGGAAGGATTCAAGGATTGGTTTACCAGTTTTGTTGGTGCAGAATCGCATCAATTTCCAAGGCTAGTCTTCATGCTTTTAGATCAAAAGACATGTACTTAATTGTCTTTTTCCCCATGGAAAAGGCCTGTCACATTTATTCAGGCAAAATTATTTTTTCCTTAAACATATGAGATGCTTTGAGCTGGCTCGATGCCTTTTTTTTTTTTTTAAATAATATCTAGTTTTAAGGAAATGACCTGTGTGGCCACACAGGGTATATGCAACTCTATCATTGTTGCCCCTGTTCCCTTCCCCTTACATCTCCTCTCCAAAACAACCCTTTTAAACCATTTGGTTAGCTGCAACCAAACTTGTGATAAGGATTTTAGTTTTAAAAACAAAACAACAACAAAACCTTTGGTGGTGTCCTGAAGAGGATCTGGCAAGGTGAACCAGCACCTTACTTTCCATCAGAAAGAAGACAGAGCTTCTGTCTAGAACTTTTTACTCTCTGGGAGGATAGCACACCAGAGTCTGATTTTACGACTGTTCTGTTTGTCGTGACCATCACACGTGGATCACTTGTTCAGTGTATCCCGTGGTGCGTTGCCAGGGCACGTTACACCTGTGCTCCTGGTGCTGCCAGTGCTCCTGGACCATCAGCCTCGTGCGCCAACCTCCTCTGTGCCCAGTTTGACAATCTCTCCCTGTTACTGGCAGCACCCTGTGAATCACCACGTGTACCCCACCTATCCATCCCAGTTCTGCTCCCGGTCACGTTTCCTTATGAGAGAGTCTGTGGTCGGCAGAAGATAATGACGAAACTAATGATAAGAGGAAAGAACAACTTGTTTTAAAAGTAGAGCAAGGTATTTGGACAGGAAGGGTTTTTCAGCAGGCCGGTGGTGATTAAAACAGGTCTGTCCTCATGTGATGCCTCTCACCTCTGGGGAAGTTATTCTTTAAGCTTGCCATGGCTCCAGGGATTGCTTGGCCTCTCAGACCTCTTCCTGTTGTTCTAGTTACTTTGGAGTTCTTGTGGGAGAAACAACTCTCTCTTTCAAGCTGTTCTCTTTTTTTCCCCTTTTTTTCATTACAGCCCCACCCCACTAAACCAGTGTATTCTCACAAAGTAAATATCCTCAAAACCTGTCAATATACAGAACTCAGGATATTTAAAAAGCAGTACTCATCCAGCCGTGGGACCCAGTGCTTGCATGATGATTTATTAGTGGTGCTGTGCCTACCCTGGTGGTTTTTGGGGGTTGCTTTTTTAGGGTTGTTTTTTTTTTGGGGGGTGGGTAGGAGCAGAGCAAGGGAGAGATATCTGGTGAGTTCTATATACTCTCTCTTTCCCATCTTGATTTACTGCTTTGTAATACCTTGTGCAGAGTGTAACTTTTCAAATAGCCCAATCAATCAGGATGTTGCAATAAGCAATAAGAAAAGCCATAGTTTGTATTCCAAGCTTACCTTTCCTGTAGCTCTCCAGGCACCTGCATCCCATTTTCAGTGTGGCTGTTTTGAATAGCAGTCCATGTGCCACACTAGGGCAGTGCAGGAGGACAGCTAGCTTCATGAATCTTTAGATTCTGATCAGTTTAATGAAGATGCTTTCCTTTTCTCTTCCTTTTCTTAATGCTTTGGTTCCATCTGTGAGGCCAGATACTTACCTTACAGCCAAAGCTGATGATTCAGAAGAAAAGACAGTATCTATGAGTCCTCGCTGTCAGGGGAGAAGGCTAAAAACAGAAAACAAGCAGTTCCATAAATGAGGCACCAGGCTGAAAGCAGTGATAGGTATGGTAACCGGCTCGTGAATCGGCACTTCCCTAATTACCTCTCTCTCCTTCTTCTCCTTAGCTTTTGGGGTTTCTTCTGCAGGGCTTCCCCCCAGCTGTGGTTAATGTTGGTTTGGCACCAACCTGCTGTGCTGGTGCTTCCACTGGCCCTTGGCTCCTGTGACTCTCTCTAGTAGTTAGTAGCCAGGCAACCGTCAACACTGGCATTGACACAGCAGCATTTATTTGCCTATTTCTTCTCTTTCCACATGTCTGGCCAGAACAGAAACCGTGTTGCAATGATTCATACCCTGTCATGCCATATCCACTCACTGTATACAAATTCATAAAACCTAAACCTGAAGGTAGGGCTGCCTGTGAAACTGAGAATCACCTGGAACTTGGGTAGTCAAGAGACAGACATTTTTGATGAAACACTCGTTTTCATTTTGCTTAGTGAGCGGTGTGACAAGGTAGAATATTGTCTAGAAAATATGCATTTGGAATTTAATGCAATAATTAGTTCTAAAACTTTGTATTAATTTTTGGGGCCAGGCGCTTGGAACTGTAAAACACTTGTTCATGGCACAAGTAGACCAGGCTGTGGGAGACCAGATCTCCCTCCTCCCTCCCTACACTGTTTGTTGGGTTTTTTTAGCTCAGATAAAACTTCAACTATTGAAAGTATATTTGCAGTATATAGCTAAAATTTCAAAATTGAACAAGTAGAAGTGAGCAAAGATTTTTATTTCCTTATCTTCTTTCAGTACTATAATTAATATAATAATTTAGCAGGACTTAGGATCACTCCTAGAAATACTGTTGTGATTCATGCTGTTCACTATAATTGCTATTACAACCAAAGGACTTCTGTGCCTAAGTGAAATGACACACACGTTTGAATATCTGGAGGACATGGCCGTTGGCGTACACTGCTGGGCTTGACGAGCAGCACAGGTTGCGCTGGTTGGGAAGGAATGTTTTATTTTGAGTAAGAAGGCACACCCAGTTTCAACTCTGTGTCACCTTCAGACAGTGTGTGGCTCATTTTAAAAGTTGAAACAACTACTTCATGAAGCATATTTATGTAAATTTCAGATGCTTACTGTGATTACTCATCGTTTGGCAAACAGTCAGGATTTTTGTGTCTACCACAACTGCATTTCTGATATTAAAAAATACTTCTGTCTTGAAGAAAGAACTTCCTGGCATCCAAATCAAATAAAACTGCTTCTTTATTTGGGACCCACACTTCTGACAGTGATCTTCCCCTGCGGTGGGTAGTTTCTCAAGGCCTAAACTTGGAAAACCACAAGGATGCTGCCTCTTGGAAAACCACAAGGATGCTGCCTGTGCCACTCAGGCTGGGGGATGGGGTGGGGGCTGAGCACTGGTGCCTTCGACAGAGGCAGGTGCTGCCCCCCCATAGTTAGTCTGCAGTACCTGCCTGCGGGCTGGTCTCTCTGCCCCCTCTAGAATGGAATCTCCCCCAAATCCCGGCGAGTCCTGAGCAGCCAGCCGTGTCCGGGCTCCATTGAGCGGGCTGTGCCAGGCCAGACAGAGACTGCATCACGCTGACGGCCGTGGGCAAAAACCAGAGACTGGGTTGGAAGGGACCTTAAAGCCCACCCAGTGCCACCCCCTGCCCTGGGCAGGGACACCTCCCACCAGCCCAGGTTGCTCCAAGCCCCCTCCAACCTGGTCTTGAACCCCTCCAGGGATGGGGCAGCCACAGCTTCTCTGGCCAACCTGGGCCAGGCTCTCACCACCCTCACAGCAAAGAATTTCCTCCCCAGATCTCATCTCAATCGCCCCTCTTTCAGTTTAAAACTGTTCCCCTTTGTCCTGTGGCTCCCCTCCCTGATAAAGAGTCCCTCCCCAGCTTTTCTGGAGCCCCTTGAGGGACTGGAAGGGGCTCTAAGGTGTCCCCGGAGCCTTCTCCAGGCTGAACCCCCCCAACTCAGCCTGTCCTCACAGCAGAGGGGCTCCAGCCTTCGGAGCATCTTCGTGGCCTCCTCTGGCCCTGCTCCAACAGCTCCATGTCCTCCTGATATTGGTGGCCCTGGAGTTGGAGGCAGCGCTGAGGAGGAAAAAAAAAAAATAGCAGTGTCTGTTTCTTTCCAGATGTTCCCTGATGAGGTACCTAAGTAACACATTGCAAGAATTTCTAACTCTTGTGCAGGTCTTGCCTCTGATAATGATACATTAAAAACATCCCAGCTTCCTGATTCTGCAGTTCAACAATGCTATTCAGCCAAGCAGGAAGAAATAAAGTAACTAGCTAACTGAACTTTAGGTTTTAAAAAGCTTTTATTGCTTCAGGAGCTCAGTATAATAATATTTAAAGACTTGAAATATTCCTTTGTGAAGTGCAGCTATGCTCTCGGGGAGGAGGAAGGCTCTAGAACTGATAGCTGAGTTTACTATTTGAATTGTCTTCACAGTAGTTACTCAATTTACTTGTTTTTTCCTTCCCCCCCTGTATGCAATGAAAGCTTAAATCACGCTCTATTCTTGGTCATTTTGCAGCTTCCTTAGTAATAACCATTCTTGTGTTGCTATTTAATTAATAGGTTTACTGATAGTGTATAAGCCAGGGTAAAATCCAATTCACAATCTGAGTTGTCGTGGCTCGGCAAAGAAATAAACAGTAATTAAATGAAGCATCTAGCATTCTGTTGACAAGAAATTAAATAGCAGGTGTGGAAACTCCTGGGAAGTTTGGCTGCCAGATATTGTAATGACCTGAACATTAACATTCTTGGGATTATCCAAATGTGAAGCAAGTGCAAATGCTGTCTGGGAAAGGAATGGAGGCCTCCTTTCTGCATGGAGGAAAACAAAATGAAGTGCTTTCAGAGACCTGAGACCTGTCTGCTCAATAACTTTTTAGTGCACAGAATTTGGGCTTTACACGAGGGGGAGTCTTCCCCAGATTGTGTATTTCCCCAGTCATCCACCCACCAGTTTTCTGAGAGGCTGGTTACAATGGAGTTGTGGCCTGCCAGTGAACACAAACTGCCTGGGTGGCCCCCTCCCCTGTACAGGAGAAGTAAAAAGCACTGTTTTCCAAAACGCAAAAGAAAGGTTTCTGTAGGCCGTGAGAAGCAAATGGGAGGAGAGGTGCAGGTGAGGCAGTGCTGAGAACACTCCTTTATCCACAAGAAGCCTTTCATCAGGAGACAAAGTGCATCCCTTCCAGGCATGCTTGGATGGTGACTGGATACCTCAGTCTGTAGGAGCCTTCTCCTCTCTGGCCCCAGGGCTGTTTGTGCATTAAGCTTCACCCAGAGATTAGTGGCTGGTCCTGAAACGTGGGGAAACATTTCTGCCATTCTTTTCTCTTTGCACAGAGTTTAAGATCATGGCAGTTTTGCAGTCATCATTTAATGGGAGCTTGTTTGATTTCTGGGCTGGAGCTTGATCAAAGGTCCACTGAAACAAACACACCACTTCTAGTGAGCTTCATGGGCTTGGGAATCGGGCAGTTGATCATCCTGAAAAATTTCCCAGAAGTAGAGCTGTAAAGAAATACGTGAATGATGTCATAAAGCTTGCTTGGTGCACAGGAAGGGCAGGGAATTCTGCAAAGAAGCTGCAGCTTTATGGAGAAAATGAAGACAAGGGCAAGGAAAGGATACGTTTAGGAAGGATGCTGGGACTAAGTGGTCGAGACAGAAGTTGGAAGAAAGTATCCCAGACCTATGTGGGGATATAAAGATGAAAGGCCCAAGATGAGAGTCAAGTATTCAAACTGAATGCAGAAAACAAGAGCCTAAACCATGACGCAAGGTTCAAATGAAAAATGGCATGGATGGAAGAGAAGAGAAGACTTGGAATACCAGTAGTAGAGAATTATACAACACAAAGTGAAGGAAAAGCAAAGTAGGAAAAAGAATGGCAGCCCAGAAAAAGAAACAGGCCAAGAGCAGAAAGCAGCTTGTGGGTACAAGGCCATGTTGTATCTTTAGGTGTGCCTTGCTTGTGTCTCTGACTATAAATGTGTGTAAAGGAGCATTTGGTAGTTAAAGGGCTACTTTTAATCTGAGATCAGTGAGTGAATTTGCTACATGTGCGTGTCCTCTGGTAAGGAGTTCATCCTCTATGTCTTGTGCTTGCTGCCAGTGCTGTCTCAACGAAGAGAGTATGTACTGCATACCCCAGTTTGGGGATTCTACTGTAATGGGCAAATTTTAATGCCAAATGCTTTAGTCATGGTGTCTCTTTTGCTCCTAATTGATCAAGTTTGAGAAAAGAACCACTGTCAGTCATTGATCACTGATGTCAACGTAATTAATCTGTATTCATACAGAACCCATGCTATTAAAGTTCATTCAAATTCAGTGTTACTCCTTCTTCAGAGGCTCTTCCAACAGCAACAAAAAAACTTGTTTCCTTAATTCTAGGGCTGTAACCCTCTTGCTGAGACTGGTCGAAGCAAACTACAAAATCAAAGAGCTGTCCTAAACCAACAGATCTTAAAAGCAGTAAGAATGAGAGCTGGTGCTGAAAATCTGTTAAGGTATGTGTCATGACTTCCCAGTTCTCTTGCCTGAACAATAAAATTATTATTTTTTAAATATTTTAAAATTCTCTTAGCTATTGCTTTTTCCCAGTCTGCCTAACAGCTCTCCTAACATGCTGCATGAATTACTGTTGGATACTTTGTCAGTCCCCCTGGAGTTTTTTTAATGCTGTAGCTTTATAGAGTTATCACCAGCTATAAAGTGCACTTTCGAAGCTGCTGCATTGTAGCAAATCAGCTGAATGTTAGACTATCTTATGCTGCTCTGTTTGATCAGCTTTATTGGTACCAATGTTGGCAAGTTAACCTTGCAGAATATTGTAATGAGTTCTTTTTACACCCTGAAGCAAATAAAGGTACCGTAACTATGCTGTTGCCTTTTCCAAGATCCTTTAGATCCATGCTCTGCAGTGGAAAGGACCATCAGTTGCCTTATTTATTCCGTGTGGCAGTGATACAGGAGCAGCAGGGTAGTGCACATTTAATTTGAGTTGGATTACGGTTGGCACCAAATTCTCCTGCAGTTTGAGGCAACTGGAAGAGACTTTGCCCTTTATCTATTATATTTTGTCCACCAAATCTTTTCTAAGTCACCATTTATGTGGCTCTCCTGACAGGAATACCCTAATGTTGACCCTGTCTTAAGGTTATTACTTCCTGTGATTAACTGCTTAGCAAACAGTCCTGTCCTTTCCAACAGTCCATCACATCCACAGAAATGAAAATTTGGGGTTTCTGAGATATTAAGATCCCTCCTGCGGAGGATGGTAAGGTAGACCAAACATGGGGCATAATTAAATTGCTGCTGGCATCAAAGCTCACCAGTTATCTCTGTCGTGCTGCCTTTATCAAGGAAGATCCACTCCACTCTGTATCTGTGTCCAGTTTGGTTTATGCAAGCAGCAAATATTAACATTGCTTAATCTAAGCCATCTCAGGTATTCAGTAAAGTACAGCGTAGAAAATTCACAGATAACGCATATTTATAATGCAAAGTACAAGCTTAGAATTTTAGCCTTGGAATAACTAGTTCTTCACCAAGCTGCTACATTAAACTGAAGGATTGTTCCAAGGAGAGGCTAAATGTATGAGAGAGTTGTTAATAAATATTTATGAGGGTGAATTTTACCTTACAGTAAAGGTAAATGCAAAATGCTGCAAACTTAAAGTAAATTTGTTATTGTCTAACAATTGGGACTGTCTAATATCTTAAGCCTGATGTGGATCAAGGCCTTTTATCTTAAACTCATACCTGTGGTTATAGGTAACAGTTTAAGTCTCTTGAAAACAGTAATGCTGTATGGAGAATGGGGTTAGAAATAGTCACACAATATTCTGAAATACACAAACAGGAAATCACACAGAAATTCCCTGCAGGGCTAAATACTAACATCCACTGTGCTAGCAGTTCAAAATAGAGAAAACTGTATTGTATTAAAAATAAATATCTTTTTCTCTGTATATTTGGTTGTAAAACACTCTGCAGTAACAGTTTCATGGGAAAGTTGTTTTCTTTTATTCTTAAGATCAGAAGTCTCAACAGATCATTGTTCAATTTATAAAGTAGGGAAGTCTCTTTTGAAAAAATTTCTCCTGACTTCCCCCCACCTCCACCCTCGTATCATCTTATAGGAAAAGATCACATAATCCAGGAATGGGATAGTGATTCTGTTTAAGATGCTCTAGTTTTGTTCATTAATGTATCTGAAAATAAGCCCAACACTTAATCGCACACAAAAAACATAGCACAATAGCAAACCTTTGATGTGTCTACATGCTGTTATCTGGAAACTATCCCAGGCTCTCCCTTCACTGAAAAACCTAATAAATTCTGAAACATCAGGTCTTGTATTATCTCTTAAAGAGATAAAAAAAAAAATCTTAAAAATGCTGAGAATGCTAGCAAGGGGGTCAGCCAAGCTTATGTACAAAACCTTTTCCTCAGCAATTAAACAATTGTCTCTCTCTCTGCAGAGCAACCACTAACAACAAAGTACGAGAGCAGGTACTACTGGAACTGAGTTTTGTAAACTCAGACCTGCAGATCTTAAAAGAAGAATTGGAAGGACTTAATATCTCAGTAGAAGTTTATCAAAATACAGAGTAAGTATAAAGCTAAGCTACTCAATTATTAACAGATCTTTTGTTTACCACTGGAAACAGAATTGTTTGTAGGTGAATGTGAGTGCTGGACAACAATTACGTGAAAGAACAGAGCTTGACAGGAAGAGAACGTATTTAATGGTAGATTTGTTGACCAAGGGTTAGTCTGTATGTTTGTCTTTCACTTGGGAAAGGTATGTACCACTAATCCTTAGATACAGAGTTCCTGTGTGGAGGAGAGTATTGCAAGAATGGAAGGCTTTTGGGGCTTTATGGGGAAACACAAGACACCAGCAGAATTTCTAGTACTGGAATGTCTAATTGGTTCAGTGCATCCTGGAATGAGCAAACTGCATGATCTCAAAGGCGGTGTACACAGCAGTTCTCTCTTTAGCTGGAGAAGGGAAGTCCAACACTGATTTGGAGCTCAGAGCAGACTTGAGGTAATCTTTAAGGTGGGCACTTCAGTGATAGAAATCCATAAATTAGCTGGCTAAACCAGAGAAATTTTTAGTTGACAAAGTTGGAATTGTTCCAAGATATTTTTCCAATTGTCTACAGACTGTGTATCTCAGACTTCCTACTCTTAGACCTTTCATTGTTAAAGTTGGTATACTTTGGCCCTGCTCTTCCCTGTGTTAGACACACATCCCTCCTACGCAGGAAACCATTGGCAGCATGTAAAATACTGATGATAACTATTGATAAATACCATAGCTCTTACCTTGTCAGATGTCCTAGCAACCATGGAGCTGGTTTCTGTCCATATAACTTGTGCAGGTGTATAAAGGTTGAGGTAAATTGCAGTAAGCCAGCCTTCGAGAGTCTCCTTTTCTTTCCTTGAAGGAAAAATAGGCTAAAGTTAAAAAAAAAAACCAACAAACTCTTTCCTTACTCTCTTCTTGAGGAGTCACAGGCCATTAAGCAGACTTTCTTGGGCAGGAAGGAACTGTTACAAACTATGTACCTTTTACTTGAACATCCATGAGCATACTAACTTTCTGTCATCATATGAAACAAAAGTAATTCTCAATGGAAAACCAGAAAACAAATATTTCTGAATCTTACTGTTTTTTTCCAGAGAGACTTTCAGCATTCCCTTGGTACCTCTTGGCCTGAAGGAAACCAAAGAGGTAGACTTTACACTCCCCCTCAAGGTAAATTTCAGAGATGCATTTCAAAATGAATAGTTAACAGAAATAACTTCCATTTCATATTTGTTTAAAGAAGCAGAAATATTTTACGTACAAATTATTATTTGTTTCATTTGCCCTAAAACTGAGATCACAATGTGTTAAAAATTAACCACCAATTATTTGGGGTGCTGCTTATATCTAACTAGGATAAGGAGTCAGAAGATGTTATAAGATATCCCACTTAAGAGATGGTAGAGCAGAACCAAAGAGAATAAAAATTCCTTCTGCAGTTTCTGGTTCCAATGAAACTATTGATTACTACTAATTGTGAAAGGAAGTAGTGAGGAAGGTTTTACTCAGGAGTCCTACTCCATCTTGCCCTGACCAGGCTGTCCCTGCTGGGAAGCAGCGTTGGAACAATAACATGGCTTGTTTGCTGACTAATGGGCTTTGCTGGCCATTGAAGCCACCTGCTGTATTTTTGGACTACCATACTGTGCAATGTAGATTTTATCTCATGATAAACCATTTTACATCACTGTAGCATTTGTCTCTGCTTTTCTTCTGAAGGTTAATCTCCATGGTCAGATTATGGTACCACTTTATGCCATTGCAGCTTTGTTAAATAAAGTGGAATTGCCCTAATATGGCTGACAAGAATTTGGCAGTCTCTTTCTGTTAACAAGTTTTTTATGGTCACTTGATTCCCTTGTTATTTTAGCTAACAGGGTACATTTGATCCTTTCAAAACCACTAAGTGTTGTTTTAAAACCAAATGGAGTTGATGTAATAGGCGTTTGGTTCCTTTGCACCAGACTGAAATTTCTTGTCTCAGATTTGAAATCAAGTTATTACTTCTATTGTCTTTTTGTAGTCTCTTTGCTATATGTTACTGTACTATTGACTGAACGGGAGCAGACACTGTGCAAACCACAACTGAATCAATTTTGTACTTCTTTGCAACTGCAGAAAAAAAATGAATAGGTTAATTTTAGATACGCTGATTTTCTACCTTTTTTTTAGGACTTTATTCTGGAACATTATAGTGAAGACAGTTCTGAGTATGAAGATGAAATAGCAGATCTCATGGATCTGAGACAAGTAAGTTCAAGTATGACGTACCATGAGGTCTTTTAAGCTACAGTTGTAAATAATATTGTTTCTATGGAATCAGAATATGCCACTGTTACTTACAATTTCAATATTGTAATTGACTTAATTTCTGAGATACAGAACAGGAATCTTCATTGTCCAAGAGCTTTACCATCTGAGTAAAGAACATGTAAAGAAAGGGATGAATTTACACAAAGTGATTGAGCTATTGACACATCCTATAAATCTAAGATTTGTCTTATCTACTTTTCTAAAGTATCTTAAATTTAGCAGGAAGAGTGTTGAAGTGAATTTATCTGGCAAAATATTTTAGTAGAATGGTGGTTATTTCTAACTATTGTTTCCTTCCCATGTTATACTAGAAACATGAACTTTATTTGTAGCTGTCATAAAATACCTACAATTTTTATTTAACTAGCTCTAAGACTTGACAAACAGATCCCTTTTGCTTACTTAACTCTGAGACTTGCCAAACGAATCCTCTTTGCTTCCTTAAAAGTTATGTACTACTTCTGTGCAGCTGAAAAACTCTTACTTGGAATGCATCCATATGGCCTTAAGCTCACTGTTCTCGGATTCCACACATTTCTGTGATATGCAGAAGTCCAAAGGAAGCAGAGATTCATCCTTGGTGTTTCAGTATTCCTCTTGTAACAGCAGAATATACTTTATTCTAATCTATTGTATTTTAAGGCCTGCCGTACTCCCAGCCGAGATGAAGCTGGCATTGAGATGCTGATGAGCTATTTCCTTCAACTTGGTTATGTAGAAAACAGATTTTTCCCACCCACCAGGCACATGGGAGTTTTATTTACATGGTAAGTGTGTAGTTCATGTTTGTCTTTTGTCCTTTTTTTTTTTTTTGAACACTGTTAATCATTAACTGCCATGTTTAAATTGAGCATGTCAGTGTGCTTCTCTCCCCCCACCCCCTGCCCTGTGTTGTCAATTTGTGTGTGTGTGTTAAGAGTAAACCTGATACAATACACCCTCTTCATGCATTGGGTAGATTATGACTTGGGCTACAGGTTAGCACAAGGGAAAAACAGAGAAAATAATCTTTGTTTTGGGTATCTGCAGATGTTTCCTGGACTCTGAACCTTGGTGCGTGAAGCAGATGGGGAATGGGTCAGAGCTGAATTCCTCTCTTTCAATTTTTGGCTAGAAGAGAGGAGGAGCGACTTAATTTATTATAGTGGAGTGTTTATTACATCAATGAGCAAAAAACTCTGACTTCAGAGTTTTTATGATGAAAAAATGTGACTATCAAGCAGCCAAGAGGAACTGTTAAATTACTAGTCATAACTGCAAGAAGGAACTTAAAAATACAAGCTGTAGAGGATCTGACCGTGCCAGTAGTTGGTCTTGGGCAACATCTAAGCACGAGAACAGAGCAGCACGTGTGGATGCTGCCCCAGTGTGCTCTCAGCCTCTGGTGTTTTATGGGCTCCTTTGAATTAGCTGTACTGTGCTTACGGAGGCACCGCTGTAAAACCTGCAGAAAACCAAGCCTCAAGTAAAGCTGTTCTCTGGCTTGCAGCATTGGATTGTCCTCACAGTACATAACTGTTTCTGCTCATCTTAATTTTCACTGTAGCAGAACAATTATTAAGAATTCTACTGCTTCTTTTGAAAAACAGTTTGAAAATAACTCTTATTCCAATGGACTCTGCTAATCTTAACACTTCTTCTAATACTTGTTTCCCAAGGTATGATTCCTTCACAGGCGTCCCAGTATGTCAGCAGAATCTGTTGCTTGAAAAAGCTAGTATTTTATTCAACATCGGAGCCCTCTACACCCAGATTGGAACAAGATGCAATCGTCAGACCCAGGCCGGACTTGAAAATGCTGTTGATGCTTTTCAGAGAGCTGCAGGTACAAGTTTTAAAATATTGGGAAGATCTTTATGCAAATATTCCTAACCTCGTCCTGACAGCCTGCAGACTTCTGCATATCCCATTGACTTCATTACGCAAAAAAAAGAGGAATAGGGAAATTCAAGAAGCCTAGTTAAGAGCTGAGATGAAGCTTTAAGTCAAAACCTGGAACTGTAGTCTGAACATGCACATGAAGACCATGAATACTGTGGTTAACGATTAATGAACTGCAGGTCAAAAGTCTGAGTAATAGCCCTAACGTTAACTCTGTTCATTCTTTGTTTCACCAACCTGGCTCATTTTACCTCAGTAATATTACATGGTGTAAAATCTGTACAAGAAGCAATTTAAAGGGTTGATAAGGGGCTTAAAACCTAGTTTTCCATATAGTCTCTTCAAAATTAATCTTACCGTGTTCTCTGGTGAAATTTGCAATTCATTGGAAGTTGACCGCATATTTTTCATAGATTCCAAAGGCAAACAGGTTAAAATACTCCGTCAGTCTCTGTCCCAAGGAAAGAAAAATACAAATTTTAACAAAGGGAATCATATCCCTTATGTTACACAAGCTTTTGTTTTGTTTTTTTCCAAGTAGATTTTCTAAGGTTTTGTAAATCTTAATGTGCTTCGTGTAAGGCTTAAAGACATGGCCTATGTAATTAATATGTACTGTAAGATTTATTTCTGTGCAGACAATCTATGGCTATTGGTTTCCACTGTATGGGTGGCTTTATCAGCTGCAAACCATGCACCACAGAGCTGGATAGTGATAAAACCCCTCTTTAGAATACACAGCTATCAAAAAATTTGATGGTATTTCTTCATGCATTTACTAAATAAATTGTTTTTCAACCTTTGTGTTTCATCTAAAAGAAGTTTCAATACATAAGAAATTTCTCCGTTTTACTACTGCTCCTTCCATTTTGCGAATGAAAAACTTAGCAATTTTCTCTTCAACATATTTGCAGAACAGAATTAATTCAGAAATTGAAATGCATCATTTGCTCCCACAGTACCTTTGCAGGGCCCCAAAGCAGCGTGCTCAGGAGGCATTTCATTGTACCTGTGCACGGCTCCGTAACACTCTGCATTACGTTGGTAGAGACGTAATACAGAGCGCGTGTTAACCGCTTCTCTCTGCCGAGTGGAAAATGTTCCACAGTTTATCCTCAGCAAAGCTCTCGGTGTGTATTTCTCCTTACTGCAGAAGCAGAAATATCTTGAGAATGAAAAAAAAATTCCCCCTCTGTACTTTCAGTTCCTTTCAGTAGGGCACTGCATTAGTACTTGGGGGGTAAGTTTGGGGTTGGTGGTTTTGGTGCAAAAAGGCAGAAATGGCCACAATTCCAATTTGTGTAAGGGCATATTAATAAGTTAAAATAATAAAGTCTAATACAGAAAAGGAAACATCAGAAACCGGTAGTAGGAAAACACAGCACAACATGGCCAGAACTGAATGTAGTGGCAAGAACTAAGATTGCAGAAGAGATTTACAGAGATTTACACTTAAAAAGCAGAGGTCTTATCATTACACTTTTGTAGTATTACCAGCAATTAACAGGCTACTAGAACTCACTAAACCAGTTAGATGACGTGCATGCTGAAGGTTACGCTTCCACCCGTGATACTGTTACTTAATATTTACACTATACTTAGTGTTTGCTTTTAATTTGATAAATGATAGAAACGATTAACATGTTGGTGGAACCAAGTGTCTAGAGCAGGATCTAATTTTACCCTATTAAATATACTCTTCTAGTTTACTTACAGGGATGGAAGTGAGCCTTCATTGGGACACAGTGCACTTAGCAGCATCTGAAAATGAGATTAATAATTAAGTTTATATGTTTGTGGTGCTTTCTTCCATCCACGGGTTCTACTGCCACCTCCTTATAGCTGTGTAGATTTTTTTTTTTTTCCCCCCTGCCATACACAAGTCACATTCAGTTCAGCACAGCTCTGTGGTCAATCACAAGAAGCATTATAAGCAAATCTGAAGGTATTGCCTTCAAAACTTGCAGCTTTTGTTGCTGTTCTGAATTGTAACTTTGAGAACTGTGCCTGGAGATGTTTGATGGGAATGCAAAGCAAAACCTGTAGGTCAGTTTAATTTCATGTGTACTGAGAATCCCTTCAGATTGCTGTAGAGCAATGCTGGGAAGTGCACTTTCAGTTGGAATTGTTATGGTACATGCTAGAATTGAGTTCGCTTGTTTCTCTCTTTGTAATGCTGACAAAACCATTCCATGATTTCAGGAGTCCTGAGCTACCTAAAGGAGACCTTTACTCACACACCAAGTTACGATATGAGCCCAGCTATGCTGAACGTACTGGTAAAAATGATGCTTGCACAAGCTCAAGAGTGTGTTTTTGAGCAGATCGGTCTTCCTGGAATACGCAATGAGTTTTTCACACTAGCAAAAATGACACAGGAAGTTGCCAAGGTAAAATATGAGACTTAAAATGTAGTCTTTACGATAACTGTTTACAGTGCTATGTTACTAGGTACAGCTTCTAGTGATATTAAGGGAACTTATCAAACCTAAGGGACAGCTAACAAGCTACAATGAAAATCACAACCTTTCAGAAGATTAAAACATGAATACTTGGGCAGTGGACTCGCCAAAGGTTTTTTACAAGCTATTGATCATACTGCTCTATGTACAGGTCTTATCCATAGAACAACATACAAAGGATGGGGTTGTTTGTGTAGTTCTTGGTTAGGTATTGAACACAACCTGTCTGTTGTTTCCCAGCAGCTGGCAGTTATATGAACCTAAAAAGCTTTAGTTCAAAAGAATAAATTGTAGCTGGGAGAGGACTCTGATGAGCAGAGTCAGATTGGCAGCTGCAGAGCTGTCTTAGGACTTGCCTGAAAAATGGGGAAGCACGCTGTGCCCCAGCAGTGTTCATACTCAATTGAGGTTGCTAACATCAAAAATTGGGTATGCCAAGAAGATAGGAATAAGCTTTCTGAGCTGTTCGGAGTAGCAGATACATAGAATTGGTTCCATGCTACATAAATGGGCACAGCCTTTCCTACCAATCCTGTAAAGGGCCTACAGACCCCAACTTATATGTAGGATTGAACAAGTGCAGGGGAAGGATTTTAGATTTTGTAAGGTGGAGTAGTTTGATCCATTAAAGCAGCATTCACTGCTTGAAAAGCTATTTCCTCTCCATAAAGAATAGTAGCCCAGTTTTAAATAGACTGCATAAACTTAAGGCTAGGTATGACTCCACAGTTTCAGAAGTGAAGCACAAGCCTAGTGTATAAGTAATATGCTTCACCCTTTTTCACAGCTTAATTAACCCAATGAGATGTATTTGTAATTTAAAAATTATTATAGGGTGTTTTTATTGAACTTTGAAGCCATATAGATTGACTGACCTAGTCCAACTGTTCTTATACAAAATTTATTTACTTTTCTTGTAAGGGAAAAATCAGAGATGGAATTTTGCATATTCTCAACTTATCTCCAACTCTTTATAACCATTTTCCCCCACCTCTTAGATGTGATACACATGAAATTATCTTAAGGCTGAATATAATATCCCTTACTTGAGCTCCTAACAACTAATGTTAAATTCTCATACTTGAATTCTCTGCTTTATTTTAGGTGGGAGAGGTTTACATGCTGGTTAACACTGCAATGAATCAGGAACCAGTGAAAGAGAATATCCCCTATTCCTGGTCTAAGCTGGCACAAATAAAGTCAGACCATTACAAAGCTCTGGCACATTACTTCATTGCCACCATTCTGTGTGACCATGAATGTAAGAATGATACATTTTCTATTTATTCATATAAATAACAATAATAAACAGCTATAATTTGGTCTATGAATAAGACTAGGAGCCAGGACCTTTGAGGTTCAGTATATGTTAAATTGTGGCCATTTTCCTGTGCAGATATGAGGCCATGCTTTTTTGTCCTCTACAGAAGAATGTGAAAGTTCAGTAAACTAACTTTTGCAGAAACAAAAGAAATATTATATCCATTATATGCTACTAAGTTGTTCAATTCCTGTCAATATATTCTGCCATATGTGTGTTACTTGCATACTTGCAGACGATAAAACTGACAGGAGTCGTAAAAACTTGAAATTCCCATCTACACATATGTGTGAAAATATTTGATTGCATTTGGAGAGAAGTAGTAATAACTACACAGCAATACACCTAAAGGGCCCGGGCAGCAAGAGATGTCTCATGGTTAATGTTCTGTATCAATTATTATAGTGCAGTCCGGTGATGATGAAGATGAGCAGGAGAAAGCCTTGTCGCAGTTGTACGACTACATGCCTGAAGGACTGATGGTTCTCACAGTTTTGAAGGACAAAGTTCAGAGAAAACAACTAGGTAACTACCAGTTTTAGCCAGCTACTAGATACAATTTGAAAATTACCTTGTATTTATTGTCTGTGGAAGATGACCAATACTTCCTAATTTTTTTCAGGGAAAGCACATTTACGCAAAGCCATCGTTTACCATGAAGAAGCTCTAAGAGTCTGTGGTCTGTGCAAAAAGCTTCGAAACATTGATGTTCTGCAGGAGGTTCTGACAGCTGCACATAAGCGCTCACTTCTCAAATATGCTCAGCAAGAGACAGAAGACGACTTTCTCAGCCTAAGCCAGGCCCCAGATATCCTTCGTAAGTAAACACAGCTAGAAATAAAGGGTATCTAAGCATACGTGCATATGGGAATATGCCTTTATTTTATGTGTATGTATACATAGAGAATATAAGTAATGTACAAGTTACACTGTACATTGGAGTTCAGATTCCTCACACGTTTCCTCAAACACAGATAAATTAATTTTGTTACAGCTGATTTACAGTGTTTCTTTCTCTGGCCACATCATTTTCTGGGGTAGATAACAAGGGTTATTATTTAGAATTCAGCTTTTTTTTGTTGTTACTATCTTGTGAGCTACAAAAAAGGGAAACTTTAAAAGCTAAAATTATATGGGGGAAAACTACGTTCCTATGATTCTTGTAGCATAACTCTTATACTGGTCTCAGTTGTTAACTCAGTTTGACTGGTATTGGTTCTTCCTACTTTAGTCCAGCACATGCACGTCTTCCCTCTTTGGAAGCAGCGGAAAAGAACGAGTGCTGTTTTTAAGTATTTCTCAAAGGAAAATAAATTAAAGAGGAGAATAGCATAGTTTTCTTTGGATGGTTTGACTTAAGTTTTCTGTATTGATACTGTGACCTCTAAAGATATTTTTAAGGCTATTCAGATATGTCTAACAAATTTCCTCAAAAATGAGTTTTCCTACAGCCTGGTAAGAATCTAGGAGAAATTTCTATCTAGCTTAGAATGCAAGAAAAATAAATGTGTACGTCTTTCAACTGATACTTGAGAGAAAACTAATTTGTTTTTCTTTTTGTTTTAGCTAAAACCGAGTACAAAATAGAAACAATTGCTCCCCAGTTTTCCAAGGTGAAAGTTAAAGATTTTTTTCATAGACTGGTACGTAACGTGCTAATGCTGACCAACCAATGTTATTTTGCTAGCGAGTATGAGTTCGCTCTAATGGGAGGGAAGGGACAGAAGTATTTCAGCCTGAAAAAATGACCCTGTAGTAAGTGATTTTTTTCAGAAATTATTGAAGAGCTCACTTCTAGTTTCAGGGATACAAGTCAACTCGAGACTAGCAAAGAATAAAAGTGCCATTTGTATATGGCTTTTGCAACATTCATTCTCAATAACCTTCATAAAATTCCTATGATGTTTCAATGGATATTTGTATGCAATTTAAGGGTGGGGAGAAACCTGCAGTGCTTAGAGATGGGTGTGCAGAACGTGTAATGTTGCGTACTACAAAGCCAGTCCTTCAGGTCTGTATCGAGGAATTGGGAGTTGCGGTTAGGATCAGAATACGCGGTTTCATGAATCGATTTATCCCCTTCAAGATGGAGTACTGTAGGACCATCTGGGATAAATCTCACTGTTCCATTTCAATGGAAGCAGCTGGAAGTTAACGTCAATAAAACATAAGATGAGCTTTAAGCATTCTAACTTAAAAAAAAAAATAATAGAAGTGCCTATTTACAAATGACAGTAAACCATAACGTGCCTGCTGCCATGTTACCTGCAGGGCCCACTGACCGTGTTCTCAGCCAAGCAGAGGTGGACGGCTCCGCGTACCATTCGCATCCACCATGAAGCAGGAGAGCTCGGATTCAGCCTTAAGGGAGGCTCACCAGTACAGATTTATTGTCTTGATCCAGCTTGTTCTGCAGCAGTAAGTACATTGGTGCAAAATTAACGTTTAATCTCCAGATTCTAGCATTGCAATCTTTTAAATGTAACTTTAGGTTGTTCCTACAGATCTATGGAGCATTTATTGAGTTCTACTGTATGTCACTATAGTAATTCATATAATCTCAACACATTTTTGGTGCTATATACATCTTAGATGTTAGAGTATCCTTATCCCCGACATGACATTAAACTAGAGTTGATTTCTTCCTCTGTTCACACTTAATAGATAAAGAGTCCCAAATAATAAAAGCAAATGTTACTCCCCATCTAGTTCAGGAAGCGAGAAGGGATTTAGAAAGTAGCTTTAGAAAGTAGCAACAACAAAAGGATGAGGATCAGGAAGGGAAGGCAAGGAGGTAGCATGTGCCCAGGGAAAAAAAGAGGGGAAAGAACATATTATCAGCTTCTAATATGTTGTTCTTTTGCAGGAAAAAAAAGCCCACCAAACAGATAAAGCAGCATGCGGTGATAAGCACAGTTTAGCTATAGGAAAGGCAGAAGCAACCACAGAAGTACGAATAAATAGAAGTAAAAACTGGAGAAAATACCTCATGAAGTATAATAGGGTAACAAAAAACATATTTCAGTTACTTAAGGAGAAAAGTGAAAAGGACATAAAACCAGCCAAGATTTCAGTATGCCAAAATCTCACTTATTAATGGCAATTCAAATAGGGAACTTGTGTACTGGAAAATGTTGCATGATTTTATGTTATATATACACTTCTGTTCCACACGTCTGGCTAGACAATGGTTTTATAGCATCCAAGAGGGAAAAGCCTTTAGGGCAGATACCATATGATCACAAAACATTTTATGCGTTTTTATAATTCCAGATAATAACCTGTGCACAATTTTTTGACAGTCAATGGGTCTAAAAGAAGGTGACTACATAGTTTCAGTCGGTGGCGTGGATTGCAAGTGGCTTGGTGTCAATGAGGTGCTGGGAAAATTCAACAGCATGGGAGAGAAGCCCATTGAGATTGAGGTGATCAGTTGCCAGGATACAGCAGCATCTATGGTATGTAATGAGGCACATGTGTTTTGCAGATTGGCTATGTGAGAGTTTTTTCACTTTCCTGGCTTTAGTCCCTGATTAGTGTTTATTTTCATGCAGTTAAGATATCTCACTCTACCAGTGAATATATAAAGCATTCAGACATGTTCAGCTTTAAACAGCCTGTTTAAATCATCATGACTTACAGCAAGCTAAAGTACAGTCTGTGCATAAGAATGGTTGGGTGGTGGGGTTTTTTGTAGTGGAGCTACTTAGATTAATTGCATTATAAATTCCAGGGCATGTTTTATTTTCCCTTAGCTTGTCCCAGAGGATGAAAATATTTCCCTGTTCAGTACTGGAAAAGCCACAATGAAAGAACAGTGGAATGTAATAAAACATTCAAGGCTAAATACTTATTTTCTTTGCACTGTTAATATATATGTATTATTTATTTTGGTGGACATTAACTTTACCAAGCTGCTGTAGAAGCTTTAGACTAAGGAAAAATGATCACAAGATTAAAAAATCTTAAGCTTTAAAAAACTTACTTGTTGTATGAGAGAACATGTAGTTCAGCTAAATCCAGTGCTTTATGCTTCTAACATTCCCTGGCAGGCTTAGGTACTGGAGTATTGTTGCCTTAGAAGTGATCAAAGTGTTCTTACTCCTGTTAGCATTTCTTGTTTCAAGAAGTTGTTTTTCCTTATTGCAAAGAAGGAATTGCACGCCCACTGTTCCAAGCTGCTGGTGGAAACAAAAGGCCTAGAACATAATCAAATTGCTTCAGGGCACAGCTAAGACATTCCCAAAATAATGTCCTACAGTAGCTCTTGTTGTCATAGTTGCAATCAACATGGAACCTGTCCAAAGACAGCAAAAAGACTCCCCTTCAGAGATTTGTGCAAGAACTATATACTTGAGCTTTGCAGAGAGCTTAGTGTATATATTGTAGAGTTACTAGAAGCCAGTAAATACCAACTGTAACAGAGCCCATGGAAAAGACTCGCCAGCCCTTTACGCTCTGCAGAGCGTACCCTTGGGTCTGTGTGGGCAAACGACCAGTCACAGCGCTCTGAAGGGCCTTGTGTTCAGGGAGTATGTCATTAGCATGGAAAGTTCGCTGTAGTCTGCCTTGGAAAAATGTTTGCACAGTCATCTTTTGTTATCTTCAAACTTTGACCCATTTTGGGTGACTGATTCTTATAATGCTACTGTTTTTTCCTACAGCATAGTAAGAGTGCGACTTACTCTGTGGGAATGCAGAAGACATACTCCTTGATCTGTTTAGCCATGGACGAGGATAAGATTGATCAGACCAAGAAAGCCCCACTGAAACTGCCTTTTTTAAGTTGGGGAACTAAAAATAGACAGAAAGCAGCAAGCACCCTCTGCCTTCCTTCAGCTGTGGCTGGAAGTTCTCGAATGAAGAAGAAACTGTCTCCCTTCACAATTCTGAATACAGAAAGTTCATTGTACTGAATCTTTAAGAAGGATCTGCTAACATGACCTTTTTCTTTAAAATGTATATTAAAAAATTGATCAATTTTATCTTTATATATACACATGTATAAATTCAGACAAATGCCATTGACTTCATTCACTGTGTATTGAGCCACTATGAAGGTCAGAGACTGGCAAAAACTGTAAAACTCTTAAGCCTTTGAAGGTTAAAATGAAGTTTTTCGGGAGGTATGCAATAACAAGATGTAGATGATAAAACTGCTTACATGAGGACTGGCTTCCTTTGGAATTTCGAAAGACAGTATCACGAGTAATCTTGTGTAAGATAGATGGGAGTTATTTATTACAAACTTGATGCTGCATGCAAAATAGGAGACACGTTAAAGGATGATTCTGCTGTAATAGAGTCAACTTAGAGAACAACAAATCACTTTAAAGAATTATCTTAACAAACCACAGGTGAGAGAGAATTACATTATTCAGAGAACCTAGCCTTGGGCCAAGGGGCAGTGTCATAGAGTTGTGGCTTTTATGCATAGACATTCTCTTTCCAAGAATACTAGGTCTATTCTACTGAATAGTTAATTTAATTCTGGAAGAGAATTAGAAGGCTTAGAAGTCAAAAGATCTTTTGAACTACAAAAGGCTTTACTCTGCTCTTTTCCTGATCTAGGTTACATTTTAAATGCCTGCTGATTCTATTGTTAAAAACAGGCTTTATTCCAAACTTGAAACTATTTAACCTACTTACCATAGGACTTGTATCTCATTGGTCTTGATAAAATTGATAGCTGTGGAAAAAAATCTCAAAACAGACATATTCCAGTATATTGATCAACAGTACATAAATTGTGGATACTTTAAAATATGAGAAAAGAAGTGAGTCTAAGTAGAATACTTATTTACTGTCATACCAAGTAAAAAACCCAAATAGATATAAAATCATCCTCCTCCTCCCATCTGGACAATTAATGAGCAAGTATTAGCTATATATATATACACACACACACTAAGGAGGGAGACAAAAAACCCAACCGTGTGAGCATTTCTTTAAGATTCTTTTATTTTCTGAAATTTCAATTAGTTGAGAATTGCTAACACTGTAGTGTTAGTTAACATTGCCATCTACAGAGTAGATACATGGTTTTTGATACTCAAAACTTAAGGGGAAAGTTTGCTTCTGGGCGTAAACTTTAAAGTTGTCATTTATTTTTAGTTTCTTATGTAATAACTGTAAATATGTTGATGACACTTATTTAAGAATAAAGATCAGATGCTGCCATTTAGTAGTACCTTTTTTGTTCTGCTACAGCTTGGGCGATACAGTGTAATTTACAGGTTTTCACTATTTCCTGCTGGCATACCTCTTCATGTTTCTGTAGCATTGCTTACAAAAAATCTAAGAAACTGTCTTTCTTAAAAGTTTATATTGTATAATACAGGAACTTAAAGTCTAAAACTTGCTTCCTTACAGAGAATGTTAAGGTATTTCTAGAATTTCCCTATGAAGGTTACATCAAAAGATACTGTAAATTACTTGTGACTCACCTATCCTTAGTAGTTACTCTCCATGCGTACTTGTAGCAGCACTTCTTTTACATACTCAAGCAGCAGCAGCCATATACTGATACACAAGACCCTGCCATACAATATTCCATACAGAGAAGATTTTAGTTTCTTTGTATGTATGGCTAAAATTACTAGCCAGCTAATGACATTTTCAGCAAAGTCACATGAATCACCTTTCCAGCTCTTAATTTCTCTTAGTCCACTATGATAGCCTTCCTGAGATACCTTCCCACTTAGCTGCACGATTAACCGCCTTTCCATTCCCATCAGCACCCTCAGTAGTCCTTGGGGAAAGGCTGAGGTGAGGTGTGTGGTGTGGGTTTGGGTTTTTTTTTTGTTTTAGTTTGTTTTTTTGTTTAACCACACACCCCCTCAATTCAAGTCAAAATTTGGGTCAAGTGCCATACAAATACATACTTACTATTTTCTGTCAGCTAAATAAAAACTCATTCTACACTGAGTAGGAACCAACAGGTAACTTAAGGCAAATGTTAATTTCACAGCAAGTTACATTCTTGTTTAGACCACAGAAATACATTACACATTTATTCTCTGCACAAAGATGTATGGGGCTATATAAAGCCCTAAAAACAAAGGTCTGCAATAGAGTAGTAGGTCTGCCTATAACTCCAGTATCAGTAATTGTTACTACTTTAATTGAACTTCAATACACTGAGCAGATAGCCATTTGAAGTAGTAAAAAGATGTTTGCAACATTAATGGCCACACACCTTTAGATCTGAAATCCAGTCTCCATGGCAAAGTGACAAAGTCTGACAGACAGGGAACAAAACCTTAAACAGATTTATAAAGAAGCTTAAGGATTCCCTAGTTAAGTAGTATCCTGTTCTGTAGTTCTAGAAATTCTAATGTTTATTATTCAGTAAATTAAATATTTATGCCCAAATTGTAAGTGTATTTTCTTCCCAAGTAAGGAATTGATATAAGTGGCAGGTCTATCTGCTGTCCACGCCAACCGGTGGATGGGATTGCTTACAGAAGTGCCAAGGTTCTATTATTCACTTTGCTTTTGTTTACAAAAGAGAGTTGAAAATCCTGCTCAACTGCCTTCCTGCTGTGATCCAAAACCCAGGCAGTATGAAAGAAGCTTTTCACACACCTCCTTAATGGGTACATGAGGCAAAAGGCAATTTTACCCTTAGTAAATAGTAGAAGAATATAATTTAAAACTAAATTGCAAGATGTCAGGAAAACCAATCCTTTTTACCAATAACTGCAAAAAAAAGAAATACTGGAATAAAAGAATTATGAATTTTCATTAAAAATTCCCATCTGATTTTCTTTGTAGGGTGTGTTGTAACTGATATTAGAATACATTATAATTGATAATTAGTACATCAAAATATATTGTAACTTCTTGTAATTATACCCACCTATATTCAAAAGCACAACATGAATTAACAACATGAATCTTAATGAAGATTTTGGATATTAGACAAGGAAATAAATTTGATAACACATTGTGAACTGAAAAAGGAGCCTGAGAAATAAATTAGTGTAAAATCAAAGTACTCCAGTAGGACTTTCCAAATGAACTCAAAAAAGTTATAAATCAAAGCTATTACTATAAAGCAACATCTGTTCACTTTTTTAAAGCACTGTGACATTTCCAGTTGCTGAAATAAGACCACCCACATATTAACAAAGTGCTTATTTCTGGAATACAATAGTGAGCAAGCAAATAGCTTTTCCATTTTTTTCTGTGATGCTGAAAGAAGGCAGCTTCCTCCTAGCTTTTTATGCAGGACCGATGCAAAACACTTTATAGCTCTCTTTCCTAGGTAATTTTCACAGCTCAATCTACATGAGCAGACCAGCTGTAAAGAAGCAGCAGCAGAGCAGTATCTAGACAATTAGCCAACACCCTCCTGTTACTGGGATTACAGAAATTGTCATAATATGTGACTATTAAAAACAATTTTTTTATCATTCACAAGACACAAACAAACAAAAAGTCTTTGTTTTCCAAAAGAGCACTATGCATGCAGTCAGGAACATAAAAACCTGTAAATTTGTTGTGCTAGTGTTTGTCCAACTACTAGCTCAAGCTCTTTGACAGACGCATTACAAAGCCGGTGGATGCTTCCAAACTGTTGCAGTAAAAGCAGAGCTTTTGTTTTCCCAACTCCTGGAATTTGTTGCACCGTCCGAAACAAGGATGGCTCTGCCAGCTGAGAACACTGCTTACGAAGAAAGGGGTTACTGCTGAGATCCTTACTCTGCTCACGGACCTGAAGCAAAAGAAAACCGCACGTGACACCGAGTGCCCTCTGCTGGAGCTCTGCTGGTGGTTTTTAAAGCAGGCTCCTCAGAATTCTGACTTCAGTGCAATCACTAGAAAGTTTTAAAAACAAGCTCCCTCCTTAAGTGTGCGCCCTTATTAAGGGTTTTGATGCAGATCCATAAAGTGTCACTAGGAAACCAACGGTTGCTTAATACCAATCATGAATTAAAACAAGGATTTTGTCATCTCTTTGATGCAATCAAGAGAAACGATAAAGTAAACAGCAACAACATAAGAACACAGTTTCCCCAGCCTAAGACAAAGGAAAATTTCAAGTCGGTTTTGGCAGAAAAGTTAAGTGAGGATTGCCTAATGCCATCCAGTGGCATCTCGGTGCAAGATTGCATTAAAAAAATCCAATACCATATTCTCCAACTTTTTAAATTTGTTCCCAAACGATCCCTCTTTCTGCTGAACTATTACTGTTGCAGGATATTTATTTCTTACATTCAAACAATAAATTATGTTGTGTTCCTTTAAGATCCTAGGTATTCTTTCTGAAATGAGTGATCATTGTGGGAAAACAGGTAATTCTCCTCATGTTTCACATTTTAATAAATGTTTGTCCACTAACACACAAAACTTACTAGTTGAGTAATAAGTTGAGAAGCTTCTCGTTGATTTGTCACAGGAAGCAACACCATTCCAAGTTCTAGCACAACAAGCTTTTGCACTGCTAAGAAATACTGATCGCTTATTTGGGTTTTCTCTACAATTACAATTCCCCCAAGACTGCTGGCCTGTATTGAAAGGAAAACAGAAGAAAAGACCTTGTTAATGACAAGCTGATGCAGTGCAAGAGAGAGCAAACTTCAGACAAGTATGAGCTGCCTGAATGCAAATCAGAGGAAGAAGAGAAGATGCAGCAACAGTGCCGAGGTTTAATACAGCATTATTACAGGGCTGCATAATTTTTTTCAGTTTTCAGGTGGAAATTGTCACAAAAGTATAGCTCCACTACAATCTAAAAATAACACAAGAAGAATGTTTTCAGAAGCATGGAACAGCCAAATACCAAGTGAAAACTTTTCCTTTTCTCTTTATGTAGTACTTACATTTCTAAACCGAACCAATCTTCGTTTGAATTCATCTCCTGCAACCAAATCTGCTTCAGAAATATATAAAATGCAAGTTCTGTTTGAAAGATGAAAATCCACAAGTCCCAAGCCATCTTCAAAAATAAGTCTGATTTTTCCTTATGAGATTGTAAAAGCAAAAAAACCAATACAGTAATTAAAAACCCCACAAACTAATAATTCCTTCATAGCACCACCTTCCTAATGTGCCAATAATCCTAGAGACTTGACAATTAACTTCGTATTTTTTAAAAGGCTTTCTTCTATTTAAGCAAAACTGGTACAAGCAATTTAAAGTTATATCTTTACCAGTGCCAATTAATAGTACTTTCAAACAACATATTTGAAAGTGCTATAGCTTCTCGGTAAACTCTGGACTTGAACAAAAACATCACATGCTATTCTGAAATGAGTTTGCTGTGCCAGCAGATGATAGCACAGTCCCAGTATCCATGCAAATTCAAGGTACTTCAGTGCAGGTGCATATTCCCAGTAGCCTCGCTGCTGTGGTTCCCAAGGAAATATTTCTGCTTCTTCTCTACTGTGCCCCACAATTACGCAAATATGACTAATCTGATCACTTAAATACACGACAGACAAACAGGAATTTTCAGCCTGCTAATGTAGGCTGTACCACAAAGATGGGACCAGCCAGGCACAGAGTAAAGCATCTTAACAGCCAATCTTAACGATACGGGGTGATAGTGGGGAATGCTTTGCCTGAATCATTTCTCCTCTTCCAATTTGTGCTTACCTTGTAGCCTTTGGGCTATCTCTGACCCTCTCCACTTCTCATTTCCAATCACATGCCCATAAGGGACAACTATAGATCCTGCTGTCACAGGAAACTTTGCTTTTGTTGTCATCAGTCCTCTTTTAAATGTCTACTTCAGTGGCAGTTACACCCTAGAAAGAAACGTGGAAGAAATATTAACACATTTTATAAACATGTTCCAAACTTAATTTTATTATTAAAATTTATAAGATGTAATACTCTGGTGGAGACAACGTCTCCTCCCCAAAGCTACCTTATGTTTAGCATATCAAAATCAGTAAGCAACCCTGTCTACTCGAATGCAGGCTGCTGGCTTGCAAATCCCACTCCCATCTTTGCCAATCTGAAAAACACCTTCATCCACCTAGCTGGGAGAAAGTCTGGTTCAATTACAAAGCTGACTCCAGAGGCATCTCCAGCCCTCAGCTAGCAGAAGTCTCTAGACAGAGTTAGAAGGTAGCTGCCAGAAGATATTATTTTCAGGTTTGCCCGCTTTATGCGGTGTCCTCACTTTAGCGGGGAACAGGAGACTTCGAGGCTAAAGAACGATTTAAGGAGAAGAGCCAAAGACGAGCCGGTCCCACCGCAACCACCACCCCCCTGAGCCACACCCTGCAGCCCGGCCCAGAACGAGCCCTCACCAGGGGCCCGATCCGAGAGGAGCAGGAGGACGGCCTCGAGGGCAGCCGCCGGCCCACCGCTGGCCTGTCCGAAAGAGGCTGAAGTCCGTCCCGGGTGCTCCGACCTCCCCGGGCCGCGGGGGAGACAGGCCAGGGGCACGAGCAGAGGCCGCCGACCCCTCAGAAGAGAGAGAGGCCGCCGACCCCTCAGAAGAGAGAGAGGCCGCCGACCCCTCAGAAGAGAGAGAGGCCGCCGACCCCTCAGAAGAGAGAGAGGCCGCCTCAGGACCTCCCGCCAAACAGCCCGCCTCGGAGCGCGCGCCTGACTGACAGCGGTAGCCGCAAATAAGAAGCGAGCGTTCTGCCGCCCGTGAGCGAATGAGATGCCGGTGTGGGGTGGGCCTCGCCTCTGGTAGGTTGCTAAGGCCGAAGGAGGGGGGAGTAATGCGCGCGCTGATTGGGGGAGCGCAGACCCGCAGCAAATCCGCAGCGCCCTTGTTACCAGACGGGTCGCGACGGGGGAAGCGTCCGAAGTGAGGAGAAAGTAGCCGGGAGGCGGTGGCGGACCCGTCCCCTGCCTGATCCAGATGGCGTTTAGTTTCAGGAGAGGCCGGAAGGGCCCCTTCGTGAGTATCGCCCAGTCTGGGGCGGGCCGCCGTCCCTGTGAAGCAGGGCCAGCGAGGGAGGCGCAGGGCCGCGCTCGGCGGGACGGGCGGAGGCCGCCCGGGAAGGCGGTTGCGCCCCGCGAGTGACCGTTGGGGCGGTTTGGCTGAGGTGAAAAATGGGGAGAGAAGTAAATTTCAAACAAAGGAAAGGAGGCGTCCGGAGGCCGGGTGCTGGTGCTTTGGCGGGGAGGTGTTCCCGGCACCTGCCCTCTCCGGGGGGGGCTCAGGCTGCCGGCGGCGCTGCAGCTCGCTCGCTTCCCGCGCTTGCTGAGGTGATCCTGGAAGCACGCCATCAGTGCCGCCAAGTAAACTTGCACAACTTCATGAAAAGCTTAGAGCCGCCAGTGGTTGTAGGGTTTCAGCAGTAGTGCCGAGAATTGTCTTTTAACGTACGTGAAGTAATTTCAGCTTTTTAAATATTAGAATGAAAATAAAGTATTGATTTTCTGTTGTTGTCTTACTTGTACTGTGGATGATGGCATCCTTTTACCTCAGCTGTATTCCCTGGTAATCATAGTAAGACACCTACAGTCAACAGCCCTTAGTAAACAAACGGTCCATTCCAGACAGACTTCCAGGATTAGGGAGCAGTGCATTTGCAAGATAAAACCGAGTAAAAAGGCAGTCTTTGTCATGCACGATTTAGTTATTTGATGTGGCTTCCTGTAAAGACAGAAGTGCTTCTCAGTTCACCTGTTCATTATCCTGCTGGAGAAGACAATTAATTGCATTACAAAATTCTCTGTAGGAGTAATAGCAGAAACTGGGCCTGTTTTACTCCATAAAAAAGTAGCATCTGTTTGAAGATGATGGATTTTAGTAGGACATAATATTTTCTGATGCCTGAGAGAGAACAAGAGGCAGTGGGCAGAAATTCAAACAAAATTCAAACACAGGAAATTAAACATAATAATAATAAAAATAATACTGTGAGTGTGGTCCAACACTGGAACAGATGGCCCAGGGAGGCTATGGAGTCTCCCCATTTGGAAAAACCCAACTGGACAGGATCCCACACAGCCCTCAGTAGTTCACCCTGCTCTGAGCGGGGACTTGGACTAGACAATCCAGAGCTCCCTTCCAACTTCAACCATTATGTGATTCCATTAAAAGTACTCTTTGTAGGGAACTCTGGTCCCAGTTTTTCTGAGCTAGTATTTATATTTAATGTTAGCCTTTAAAAAAAAAAAACAAAAAAAGTGGGATTTACTGATAAAAATGCGTCAGGATGGGGTTTTTTGTTGGTTTGTTTTTTTTTTTTAAAATTCAGTTTGAACCTTTGCAAGAATTGTTTAGTGATAGTTTTTTAGTTTTTTCTTCCATCTGATACTGCTATGATTGAGGATTACTTCTGACTGACAGACTCTACAAAAAAGGGACTAATATTGTTACTCTGAAACAGGGTTCAAATCTTTTTAAAAATTAATTTCTAGTACTCATTATTTTATATATATGTAGAAAAAAACCCAAACAAATTGAGTAAATTAAAGATTTGTGATATAGTGGGTGGAAAACCTACATTCATGGGTGTCTTGTTAATTACATTTTTAACCTTCATTAGCAGCTGTTCATATTAAAAAGTTAAACTTGGAGCCATTTCAAGTTTTCTGTTTACATTAACTGCATGTAATTGTTCTTCATTTTTTTAATATATTGTTAGTTTTTGTGCATGCTCAATTCAGTGTTTTTTCACTGTGATCCTTAAAGTCATTGTCAACTAATTTTATTTTAAATTGTTTAGAAACATATAGCTCATGGCCTGGTCCCTGCTGCTACCATAGCTCCTAAACCTGCAGTTCCCCGCACCCCTCCCCCTCGTAGTCCAAACCCTTCTCCAGAAAGGCCCAGGTAGGTTTTGAGTTTGTTTTGGTTTTGGTTCTTTTTGCTTTGTCAACTACAGTAGCATACTAGAAAAGCATGTTGTTGCTGCAGTATTTACATAAACCTCTTAATAAATGGAATATATTTTTAATTGGGGCAGTTCCCTTCTTTGAACTTTAAAGATACCTATTTTTCTCCCACTCCTAAGAATGCTAAATAATTAGCGCACTGACCATTATGAATATGTAACTTTATTATAAATCTGAACCAATTAAAGACAAATGGACTATTGAAGTTAGAGCCATTTTTAGTTTGGGTGCTACAGTAGAGTGTAGGACTGTAGCAGTACTTGCTACAAGTAAGTAGACTCATTAGAAAAGCATTAGAAAAATGTTAGTAACATGCCATTTTATTGTATATTAAAAAAAGCAGGGACTTAAAAAACTGGCATGTAAAACCATGTTGGAATGGATTTGAATTAGCAGTATAGAAAGTTACATAAAGAGAAAATACAAATTTATTTTCATTTGTAGTTTCTTGCAGTTTTTGTTTTCTGTATGTTTAGTTAAATTCTCTGTTGTTTTCTGTGGTCTTTCTAGTGTCCTTATGTAATTCTAGTTCATTTCTTGTTCCTTTTTGACCTCCAGATGTTGTCATTCCTGTTGGAGTCCTCACCATTTCCCTCCTTTAATCTTTGTTCCTACTTGGTTTTTCCTCTTCATCTTACCCTTCATTATACTCTGTAGCATCCCACAAATAGGCCCTTCTATCTACCTAACACTTGCTCTAGTCTGCTAAGTGCAAGCATTTATTAACAGCTTCAGAGTCATCAGTAAAAGGTTCAGAGTAGGGAATAATGGAAACTAGGAGACAAAATAGCAGAACATGGAACACTTTTTCAACAGAACGTCAGGTAGTATTGTTATGGCTAAAGTGAATGCTAAGTACTGTACATTATCAATGCCAATTTTGGGAATGTAACTCAGTATATTTCATGATTTTCATGCATGAGATTTGGGAAAACAGATAGGTATTGTACTTTACTCTTAGATCGCTGTATTATGATAGCTTGCCTAGTTTTCTGCTTTACTTTGGGAGTTAATAGTTTATAACCAGTCCGTTAGCACTTTCAGTGGTGTTTATACTTGTTAACTGTGAATATTTTGCTTTGCTTAAATAGCGAAGGCATTTTACAATGGAAAAAAATGTAAAATGTAGAGCGCAGAGAAGACATCAGTATTGTTTCATTGCTTTATTCTGTTTTCTTCCAGATCTGCTTTAGCAGCAGCTATCCTTGCAACAACACTAACAGGGCGCACTGTTGCTATTCCTCAGCCTCGGCAGCGATCGCTTTCAGAAAGTGATGCCACCTACGTGGAACAGGAATGCTTTGAACCATATGCCACAGTCACAGAGCTCAGAATGGGGTAGTGTATACTTTCTGTTTTGATATCTGATATTAGAAAAAGAATCTGTCAATGATAAAATTTTACCAAAGAGATAAAGCAAAGTAATTCAATTCCCGGTGTTACGGCCACTTACTTTTTTTCTCACTACATCATAAATTGGGTCTGAAGTGTCTACAATCTTCGTTCCATTTCTCATAAAGTGATGTCATGCATACAATCTTCAGAGAGGGAGATTTGGATTGTATGGCAGTCACAAGTAAAAACGTGTATTATTTCTGCCAAATGTCGATCAGTTATGCAAACAGGTCATCACTGATGATCTGAATTATTTCCTTTGCACTGAATAATTATTTCAGTCTATTCTTTTGGTAGAATTAGCAACCTTCTGTCTGTAATTTGGCATTTTCTTTTAGATAGAAAAGAAAATACAGCTCCACTGTTAATCGTCTATTTTAAAGCACAGACATAGGCTAGATTCCCTGTTTGCAGGGAACAGAAACTTGGACGTCTGTTAGTGTCAGCTGTTTGGACTTGTGTATATTCTAAGACTGATGGTTCTACTTTACTAGTGGTTGGGTTGTTTTTTGAAGAGTAAGCAACACTGAAACAGGCTTTAAACTGCTTTCTACTTGCAGGCCCAACTGGAAACTTGATGGTAGTGACAGATCTCCTGTACAGTCCCTGGAAATGTCAGGCAACTATTGTGAGGATGAGGACATGGATACCTATCTTTCAGATGCTGATAAAGAGGCAGAGTCCAGTTGTCAGAGTAATGAGAAAAGGGGAGGAAGCTTTAGCACCAATGCTATTTATGCTGTTCCCTGCAAAAATAAAAAGGTAGAATTTTAAAATGCATTAATTCCTTTTACTGTGTTTTAATATATTACTGCAAATATTAAATATTTCTAAGGCTTTTCATTCTTTTCTTACTCTTTAGACATTTATTTGATTTTTATTTCATATGCTTCTTTTTGTGTTTCATTTACTCCTACATGAGTTAGGTTTGTTTCTTGATCCTCACAGATTCCATATCTGTGATTATTAGGAGCCTTTCCTTATTGGGAAAACACTGATGTTGTGTATAATTATTGTGCATAATTTAGTCTTGTAAAATATCCAATATTTTATGTTGAGTGTGATACTCATATAGTAGATTATTTGTTAAAAGCACGGGGAACTTTACTTTTACAAGTGGTGAAAGCTTAGTTAATGATTTAGTATTGTGCTAACGAGTAGAGACCTGTATAGAGACAGGGAGATTCAGAATCAAGCAAAATAAATTGCCTTGTTGTCTTGAAGACCAGTGGGTTTTTCTGCACTACAGGTTTGGATTGTCTTAACCAGCAATGAGCAGGTTAATACTCCTAAGGCACATTTTAAAGTTGTTTGCATCTCTATCCAAAATGATACAAAAATTTAACAAACAGGAAGAAGTAACTGAGTAATAAAGAGGCAATAAAATGCTATGTATGAAAAACATCAGAAAACACCCCTAGGTGAAGAGATAATAGTAAGAGGAGGGGATGCAAAGGAAGGGAACGAGTGGAATATGCAGGATATGGTATGTAATCAACGGGGGCAAAACAGCAGAGACAATGTTAAAAATTATTCATTAGAGCTGTGATATAGTAAATAAATGATTCAACCAAATAAACCAATGGATCAACCAAATAAATGCTTGATCTTGTATTAAGAGCAAGTTTTGATAAAAGAACAAGCAAATGTAGGATAATTTGGCATGCTCTTCTGACTGAATATGGTGACAGAGGATATTGACCCCATGAAGTAACTGACTACCATAGCTTCCTACTGCCTGCTGATCACTGTAAGGTTTAGATTTTAGTTACATGAGCCCTAAAATGAAAAACCCGGTCTTATCATTTATTATCTTAAAATATTGGAGTACAATTCCAAATGTGACTGGGACATTAGTACACTGAAGGTTTCATACAGATATCAAGACGTGGGCTATTTTAATAGTGTTATCATGATTTACATAGGCTTGTCTTTTTTTCATATAGGAAGAGTTTTCAGCATTTCCTGGTACTAAAGTTGACAAGAAAGAGACACCTTCTCACGAAACAGAGTTTCAAGTGGTGGTCCATGAGTCAAACATGCAAATAGAAGGTAAATAAATTTATTTTAGTCAAAATACCATACCTTTTAACACCATGGGGAAAAATAACTTTTGAATAAAATAAATTTAATACTATATGATAACAATATATTACTTTTTTTTTTAAAGGGTAATGGAAGAAATGCTACTAAATCCTTAGCAATTTCTAGTAGCTAAGAAAATTAAAAATCTTGGTCTGTATTCACTGCGTAACCAAAACTCCTAAACATCCACTATCAGACAGTGTAAAAAGATGGGGGAGAAGTTTTGTGAACTCTGTAAACTCTAAAAGGATAGTGGAAGACAACAATAGAATTTAATTTCTTCAATAGTGAGGTAAGGTAAGGTCTCACATTAGTATCCCGATACACCATGACAGAAAGAATGGAAAGTTAGTGATCTAATTTGTGGAGGACTTTCTTGAATTTATTTGCAGTATATAATATGTGTACATACATATCCATATGAACCTTTACAATTTATGGATTTACAAATAACTTCCGGTTTTAATTGACTGAAAGATCTGTTCTTCTTTAACAGAAGACCGACATCTTGGCTTGAATTTAAAGGTAAGGTGTGAAGGTAAATTTGTGATGCATTTTGGGGAAAAAAAAAGGTTTATAAAGAGCGGATAGTTTACAGTCACTTAAAAGAAAACTAATTTGTTGCCACTAGGGAATCTTTTTCCTTTGGAGTTAAAGAATGGCTAATTGTTCCTTTTGAAAGATACGACTATATAGGTAACTAGGCCATACAAAAGTTGAGGTTTATTTATATTTTTTTAAAAATATATCTTCTGTTGTTCCTCATGGGAAAGAAAGAGGGAGTGCCATGTTATAGCAAGATATAACTTTTACTGATAATTTTCAAATTATGAGCCTGACTTCTACCAGATTTCTGTCTAGTTTTCCAGCTGGGCCCATCTGACTGCTTTCATAAGCTTAAAAAGAATACTCAAGAGTTTTGTTTCTCAGATCAACTTGCTGGAATATTATTTACAAAAATGGTCAGTTCTTCCATTCTTAACATCGCTTTTTTTCCTCGAGTTCTTGACCACATATATTTTCTTTAGAAACTGTTCTTGAGTTTTGAGTCACGTAGTCATCGGTGTTGTGGTATGTTAAATTACATGGCATCATATCCTTACAGAACTTCACTGCTGTTTCATAAAAGCAGCATGGAGAAAGTCTGTATATCAGTTATGCTCACCTCAAGTAAATACATTAATATAAATTCGGCCTGTAGTTCTTTCCTGATGAAAGAACCTTCTGAAAATGTAAAAATAGGTACTTTTTTTTTTCTGGCCAGCAAAAGGAGAATTTTACATTTTAATTTATTTGCTGATTCCCAGTTAGAGACTGACAGTTCATATCATAATTGACTATTCTGAAGTCATATTTTAACTACCAAGTGGGAGCAATATCCATCCTATTTGGTCAAAAAGCTTTATGTTTATGTAACTTCTATGTCAGCCATAAAATTTGTTTTGAGAACTGTACATCTCTGACAACTAAAGAAAATACTAAGTTTCAAGTGTCCACAAGTGACTGATAGCAGTGATGAGTGACAAAATGATATTAAGATGGGTAAATGCCAAGTCGCATATTGTCGGTTTCTGATATAAAAGAAACTGTTTCAAAAGTTCTGGTTTTTAAGTTCTCCATCGGTGATGCTGTTCAGAGTACTTCAGAAAGGATAACTGTTAAAGCAGATTGTCTCATTTTTTATTTCTCTGCTAGGAAGAAATATCATTGGCTGAAAATCTGATATGTGAAAAGCCTCCACCATCCCCAGGTACTTTTGATTTTTCTATGACTTTACTACAAATCTTCACTTTAACAATATGCATATGTATACAAAAATCATTTGCTGAAACTTGTATTCAAGTCTGAACACCATTTAAATACATCATACTGTGGCATTGCAGATGTGTCGATTCGGGCAAGGCAAGCACGGGAAAATAAGACTAAAGAAAAGTTCAGAGAACTAAAACAAGAAAACTGGTCTCTGACCAAAGCGTACCAGGCTATGGTCCAACAATTTGAGAGAACAAAGCAGCAAATAGAAGAACAGCAATTAAAGCTGAAGAGACTAGAACAAGAAAACAGGAGACTTAAAGAAGCTACAGAGAAATCATATCGAGAAGGTGGGAGAAATACATAAACTATTCTATAGTTAATTTGTTTTATTTTTCTAATTTCTTACAGTCTATTCCTGCAGTAGTAGGTTTCCATTGATCTGAGCAATTATCTATGCAGAAGTAATTTCTGAGCAGTATTTTCTACATTTGTAGAAATTTTGCCAAGGAATATTTACATGGTCATGAAAAAAAATTATTTGATTGTTTGAAATGTAATGGTTTTTGTTAGTAATTCTTCATGGGATTATTCCATTACAGTATTTTGAGAGAAGTTCTCTTATGATGTTAGTTTATTGAGATTTTTTTTTTCCTTACAATTAACAAATTATTGTGATCACTTCTTGAATTTTGATTGAACTTTCTTGTTGGATATTTGTTTTAATAGAGGAGGCTACAGAATTACTTTCTCTCAGACAACAAGCACAAGAACTGGTAGATGAAAACGATGCTTTGAAAATGACGGTCCATCGTTTAAATGTAGAATTAAGTCGCTATCAAACTAAATTCAGGCCATTGTCCTGGGAAGAGGTGAGAATCTTGGTTATAAAGGCAGTTTGTACTGAAATGTCCCATTCCCATTGTCCTTTCATTAATCTTTGAGTTTTTAAGACTGTTTTCTCCGAATTTGCCACAAAGTCTAAAAATGGCATAGGCTTTGTATTAAATTTAAAATAAACATTTATAGCTAAGTCTAACTTCTTCAAGTTAGATTTTCTCCTGTATTAGTAAGATAATGACCTTCCATTTTTGTTGACTTTGCTGAGTGTGTGTTAAATCTGTAACACATACAATCAGAAACAAAAGCTGTTCAGGGTAATAGCTGTGAATGCAATGGATGGTGGTTGGTGCTTCAAAAAGCAGGAAATAATTTCAGTATCTTTTTAAAAATCTACTTTAGCATCCAAGACTGAAAAGTTTACCCATGAAAGGACCACCACCCCCATGGCTGGTAAGAATATTTTCACTTATCTATTCATTACTTTCTAAGTAAAGTAGTAGAATTTTTTTACTGGAACCAAAATATTCAGAGTATTATTTAATTACTCTGCTGAACTATCACATACTAGTAGAATATTATAAATATTTATGTTTGTTGCATAAAAAGATGAAGGGCAGAACTTCACAATAAATGTGTGTAGCTCCAGGTGAATTTACAGTAAGTTACAGACTGCATATAATCACCAACTTTGAACCACTGAATGCAAATGAAGTAGAAGTACTGTTACCCTGAGAATCATAAATACCATCTTCACTTAGTATTGTCTAACATGTGGTTTTGTTAAAGGAACAGCTTCAAGGTCTGTTGCTTAATTGTTAATCCTCTTAATTGTTAATCTTCTATTGTGATTACTTTAAAGATGATACTAAAAGAAAAGTTTATATCAATGATTCTGATGATAAGAATGGTCATGGGTCCACTAGTTGCCTATGGAGTTCTGGCAAGGAGAAGGCAAATAAATAGTCTGTGAAATTGAATGCATTTGTAACATGGGAAACAATTTCTCCTTGAAATGCTAATCAGATTTTAAATTTTCCTTCCTCACTGTTATTCAGAACTATACAGAAATAGGAAAATCCTCCTCCTGCTCTGTCTTTCTAGCTATAATATCCAAGAATCACATACGTATGTATTTAGTTTTAACGATGCAGGTTTGAGAGTGTAAAAATTCCTTTTTCATTTACGAATGAATCTGGACGAAATTTGATTATTATTAACTGTATTCACTATAGTGTTTCAGTTTGGCTTTGTATTCATTTGCATCCACATTCTGCTGTGTTACATATACTGATAAGCAATAGCTGCTTTGTAGTGAAGTGTGCAAATACCGCATCCAGCCTTGTCCCTGCCAAAGCTTGCTCCTGAGGTGGTGATACTGAGTGCTTCTGCAGCATCATTTTGCATATGGTGGTCTGCGTGCTTGTACAAATCCTGCAATTTTGTCTGCAAGGCATATTCAAAAACCCTTAATAGCTTTTAAAACTAGCAATATATAGCAAGAAAAGTAGTAAAAATACTCAGATTATAGTTTGTAATTGATTTATATGGATTGATTTTTCACAATTTTTTTAAGTTGGATATGAAGTATTTGTCACCTCTTCTGTTGGCATATGAAGATAGAATAAGAGAAAAGGAAGATTTACATCTTGAACATGAGGCAAGTTGCCACTTAAAGAAAATATACTTTTATACTAAAGCAGAAATAAATTACTGAAATTTTTTTAAGAATTTTGTCAAAGCTGTTTTCCACCTAAAATGAAAAATGACTTTGTTTTACTTTTACATGCATAGTTATTGTGCTGTCTTATCCTACTTGGCTTAATTGGTAGAAGCAGGCACTACACTGAGATGTACAAGAATTGTGCTGTCTGAATAGAGTAAACCATAAACAATGGGTGGTAGAAAGTATTTACTATTGTCATTCATAATGGGATGGAGTGCCCTGTATAGCTGCTCTTCCAGTTACAGGCCTGTGGACTTTGTGGTAGAAGAATATTTATTTCCAGTTATTTAAGGAATGGGCATACTCTTTTTGCTCTTTAGAAGTACTTTTTTGTCACTGAATCTTTGAAAAATGGTGATTTGCTTCAAAGCAGAAGCAAATTTTATTCAAAATAATTTATTTCCCTCAAAAACTTCAGCCGTAAAATAAGCAGAAAACACTGAGGGGTTTATATCACTGTAATTTCACTGTATTGTCCTACCATATTCAAATTCATGTCATGCATACTGAAAATATATAGTATTATCTAGTAATTTCCAGAATTCAGTTTCTTATATCTGTATTTTAAGGATCTACAACTTGCTTAATTCAAATGACACTTGGCAAAAACGTGGCACGATTCAAATATCTATATTTTTAATCAAATATTACTAGATTGAAAGCAATGTAAAAGTTAAGTAGACACACCTGAATTGAAGATGAGTGAGCACTGGGATAGTATGCTATTAGCAGAAGTCACCAGGTATACATAAATATACCAAAGTATATTTATGTAAGTTTTTGTTGATGTAAAAATTAAAAAAAAAAAAACTTACCCTGGAAGAAAGTTATGTGGAGTTCTTTGTTTTCCAGGAGGATATGAAGAATTTTAAAGCACGAGTTGAAGAGCTGGTGAGAGAGAATGAAGACCTGCATAAGCAATTGAATAAAAATAACTTCATTACCCCTACAGAATGGCAAGTTATATTAGTAGAAATTAATGTAAAAGCTATTTATTATTTTGCTTGTTGCATGCAAACTATTAAGATTACAGATCTTAAGGAAATATCTTGTTCCCCTCAAGCAAATTACATTTTGCTGAAGAGTTAATAGGGTCATGATTATGTCTTGTCGGAACAATGCTGATCTGCAATGCCTGAAATAATTTTGGAGTAAAGATTAAATAGTGCAGTTTTGCACATGAAGTTTGCACATGTAATTCTGTCCCAGACCCTGCATGCTTAACTTTTACACTTCTACTGATAGTAGGGATGTGCCAATGACATCAGTTTTTTGTTGATATAAAATGGTATTGGTATATGCCATTACAAGAATTTAGTGTTCTTGAGAAATGAAACAATGCACATGAAGTTAAGTAGTATAAAATACATATGAGGCTTAAAACCAATTTACCTAAGTCAGGCATTCATCAATTGGCAACTGAGATGGAGAAGAGACTGGTCTTACTGGGTCATCGCAAGATGATTGTGAGCTTTTTAGGACAAGAGCCATAAGGAAAAAGGCAGTGTAGTCCTGGGGTATGTTAGAATAGGTCCTTCTAGGAGAGGCTGTGCAATAACAACACGACTATATGGAAATCTCTGGAGAGTCCCAGCCATCTTTATTTAAGTACAGAGAAAGGTGTAGCCAAGGAAATGCAGGGCCTCTTTTATCTGGAGTTTTGACAGATTGGCCTTTCTATTTTAGCAGAACAAAGGCTCAGGAAGGACAATGTTGCTTTCTGTTTAAACGCCCATCTTCTGTACAGGCCCATAAAACACACTGGCAGTATTATTCTAGAGATCAAAGCCAAGTAAATCTATATCCTATCCAAGAATTTGTTGCATATTTTGAGAAGAAATTTGTTTCAGTTAGTACTTACATAGCTGTCTCCTAATCATCTGGCACCATTATGTAGCTTCTTTGTACGTGGAATTTTTGCTTTAGTTAGTCAAAGATTTTAAACATTATTTAAAATAATTTACATTTTGAGGGTTGTGAGTTCATGCCTCTAATAAGCTTACCTTGTGTCCAGACATTGCTTTCAACATGGGTTTTTAATTTGTTTTTTAAAGAGGTTCAAACATGATTTTATAAGTTTACACTATTGGAAGTCAGTTGTGGTTTTTTTTCCTTTGGACAGAACTTAAATATTTGAATTTTATTTTATTTTATTTATAAGCCAGTTGTCATTGCAGGCAGCAACTGCAAACTCAGGCCAAGCTGGTCTTGGAAGAAAATGGATTGTTGATGGAGCAACTTGAAATTCAACAAGCTAAAGCCAGAGATAGTCACAGACAACATGTTCAAGAAGGTAAAGTGCTTGAGTTGCTAGTACTGCAAGTTTGGGGGTTTTGTTTGTTTATGGAGGACTTTTTGTTTGGTTGGTTGGTGTTTTGGGGGGGATTTTGGTTTTGGGTGTTCTTTCTACCTTCATATATACCTGACAAAGCATTGCTGAATGGAGGTAATATTAATATGAGATCAAGCTCTGTTGTCAACTGATACTGAACAGAAACATCAGTATCACCTATTGACACTACACAGCACACTCTATTTTGACTTGCTTCCTCTGAAAAAGTGACAGGAACTGTTAAACAGCAATACACTAATTTTCATAATTTAAGAGCACTTTAAACTTTACGTGTTGGTATTTGTGAGATATTATTTGCTTATTTAAATGTTCAAGTTAGAATTTGTAGGGTTTTTTAATATTCTGCTTTGTAACCAAGGTTTGTCATTTAATATAGTTAATTATATCATAAGTAGTAGTAGTTGATTTTACGCTTTTATAGTTTGAATCTCCTTAAATCTACGTGAACAACTAGGAATTAACGTTATTACTGGTTTAGTTGGAATTTCACTAGGTGATCAAATTAGTTCTGCTGTACCCAGCTTTGTGGTTTTTTTCCTTCCAAAAGCTTCAAAATTGACAAAACAGATAATAATCTTGGAAGGTAAGAAAAAGAGACAAGAAGAAGAGATAGCAGAGTACCAGAAGCAGTTGGAAGCTTTGTGTTCTACCTGTGAAGAGCTGAAAGCCAAACTGAACAGCAGAATAGCAGCAGAGGAGCACTTTGCTTTGGTGAATGATTTAAAAAGGTACGAGCTTACATATGGGGCACAGAGAAACAATTCTGCAAAGCATTGATGTGAACAGATCCATATATGCACCAGGCTGGGTAGAAGGCGAGTGGAAACATACGCTGGTAATCTAGGAAGGTAACTACCAAAGTACAGAGAAAGTTAAAGAAATACTTCAAAAATCCTGTCTCACTTCTTATAGACAATTGAAACTACAGAAGAAAATCCTAGATATCGAGACATCAGTAGAAGTGTTTCTACCATAGAGTATGTACTGCTAAATGTACCCTTTTAAATACATGAAGAGGAGGCATTAAAAATACCTTTTTGGTCAAATCTATTTACGTCTGTGAACACTGTATATAAAATGTTCTCAATCCTTTGTTCCCATCTTCAGGAAAATGTCTGAAGGATCCTGTAATTCTAAACCAAAAATACTAAATTCCTCCAGTCTTTAAAATATGAAAATAACACGAAACAGCACAACAGAAAAGTGCTGTCTTGCAGCATAGTCTGTAATGTTTTTCTAAAGACATTCTGTAAATTTCTTTGCTCTCAAGGCTTAGGAGAGTGCAGGTTACTGTTTTTTGGTACAGTGCCTTCCTGATAAGTTCTCAGACCTTGTTTTTTGGCACTGCTAGTAATTTCTTTGAAAAAAATTAGGAAGGGAATACATTTGGAATGTAGAAGTATTTTTATAATTTAAATTTTGTTTCAGGTGCAGTCAGGATTAATTAGTTGAATAGTTTGTGTTATGCTCCATTCATGATTTGGCATGTCATGAGATTTTAATGCCTCTCTCTGATGTCACCACTGAACACTAAGCATTCTCCATGTATCTGTTTCATACCTTCTACATGCGTATTTTACTGTAACTTAGCTTTTTAGTGAAGTAGGTCTAGGCATCTAGGTCTGACTCCTGTTCTATGCCGTTGGGTTTTGTAGCCATTTACAACAGGAGCAGGAGAAAAAGCGCTATGAGGTGGAAGAACTAATGGGAAAGATAACATCGCTGGAAGCTCACAAGAAGAAACTGCTTTTAGAGAAAAATAACTTCATGGCTGACAACAAGATCCTAGAAACTGAGATGGAATTGACACGAAAGACAAACAGGTCATATTACATTCTCATTTTCTTATCTAGAAATACTTGTATGTCTAAAAATAACAGCAGAAATACCTGTAAAAATACTGACATCCCACATTGTGTAATTTCTACCTATTACAGAAAAAACATATTTCCTAAACACATCTTTGTCGCATTTAAAGGCCTGGTTGTCAAGGAATTTTGCTAAGCTTTATACATTTTCATGCACAATTTTCTATGCCTACATGCAAATTAAGAATATCTCTTTAATGCTATAAGTTAGCCATAGCAATTTGTACTCACCTGAAAAATAGGGTATTACGCTATTTGCAGACCATCTTGTGTACCCAGGTGGTTCAATACTTTAAAAAGTAAAAACAGTATTATTGTTACATTTCTTAAAAAAATGAGCTTGTAGCCATTGCACAAACTAGTCTTTTAAATCATTGTTACTGCTGTTATTCGCACAATATATTGTAAAGAAAAACAGTCCCTGAAAGTGGGAAATACTTTCAGCATTGCAAATATTTTGAGACTTGATTTGCACATGCAATGCAGGTTCTTTTAATGTTGTTATTAATTTCCACTCAGAATATTTTTCTTTTTCTGTTAATTTTATAGGCAATTAAAGAAGAAAATAGGTCTTCTGAAACTGCAGTTGGAGGAAGCAATGGAAAAAGAAGTTGCAGCTCATCACTATTTAACAAACCTTATTGGTTTGGTGGAGAAGATAGCGCAGGAACGTGACCATCTTATTTTTTTGGTAATTACATTTAAATAATTAATATAGCTTAATAGATATTTCACACAGTTATCATCCTACTGGCACAACTTATCGTTAATTTGAATTATCAAAAAAGAAGGCTAAAATTTCAGTTTAAGGGTTTAACTATTTAAATAGACTTTTGTAAATAGGATAGGAGCAACAGAACATTATTTTCTGGAAGAGTGGTTAAAGGCAACTAACCTAATTTCTGGAGGTAACTTAATTAAGCCTTAACTCACATCAGCATTAGGGTCTGCTAAGTGTTTTGTTAGTGAGACAGTATTTGTGGTCACTTGACAAATTATTAAGTAGCCATTATTAAAATAATTTTCAGGATTCTTTTTCCATCTTAGTTCTTCAGACTGTTGGAGCTCAAAACAGAAGAGCTTGTCTTCCTCAGTGTATGGATTTTGTCTGCCCTGTCTAAATTAAGGATTACATTTAGTTATGTATATGTTTGCAGGCCAAATGTTTGGAAAATGAGAATCATGGTGTTCTTAACAAAATAGTAGAAGGCAGTCTACGCTTAGGAAGACTGGAAGAAAAAGTTAAGGTAAGCAGTATTTCTAAGCTAAATATCATATAAAATGTCTTGGTTTTTTAATGAGCAGAGTCAGTAGTTAATCTGTGTCAGTGTTTTTATGAGACATGGATTATTTTACCAAGAGTTTTTAAAAAGCAAAATGGACCATCATTATAGTTTTCAGAAAGATATTTTTCCATTATATTTGTACATTGTATGTCTGCCAGGTCATTGCATGTACCTCCTTACCTGGAGAATTATGACCACTTGTAAAAAGAATTCAAAATTATACTTCATTTGTACTTTGCTTTTACTGTAAACTCAAAAAAGGAAGGAGAAGGGTATCTGGCATATTAGCTTCTCTATATAGAAAGTGATACATGTTACTTTCATAATTTCCCTCTACATTGAGTTACAGAATAAACCTACTGTTCGGGCATTGATTTAGGTGTATCTGTCTCCAGTGATAACACTATTTAAAATGCATTCAGTTTCTGAAAGGGTGATATAATTACTGGTAATTTGATTGTTATCCTATTTCTTACCTTAGAAAAGGGTGTTTTGCATTTGTTTTAGCCATCTTCAGCTATTTCAGTAAGATACAAGATAAGAAATACGTATTATATCATATGCATTATAGCGTACAGTCCTCGGATTGCGTATGAGAGAAAAGCTTCTATCCTACGGGGTTGAGTTACTTGCAAACATCTACAATGTGAGTCTGTTCTACTTCTTAGACATAACCAGAGATCTTAGGTTTACCTTTTGGTGAATTCACTGCCTCGTGTTTTGGCAGACACAAGGTCACCCAGTCCTGTGTTCCAGGTCAGATGCACTGTGTGCATGTCACAAGATTCCCTGGGGCTTCTTCCACATGGCTGCAGATGTGACCGAGGTGAGGGAGGGCTGGGGGCCCTGCAGACACGGGGCGCACGCCCCATAGACGGGTCCCCCAGAAAGCTGTCGATTCTGTTCCCTTCCCATCAGTGCCCTCTGAAGCCAGGTCACTTGTGCTTTGCATGTAAAAGTGGATCCCGTCTTCTGGTCCAGAGTGCTCCTTTTAGTGGTTTCTTTCGGAGAAAGTAAATGAACAAAAATCATGTTTTTCATTGAGAAACCTCAAAATCAATAAGATCTGGCAAATCAATTATTAAACACAGAATCACTGTGAAAGTCTTTAAAGCTAAGTAACAGGCTATTGCTAAAATAAAACCCAAAGCCACGTAGATATTTATGTATACTGCTTTATTACATATTTTAAACTATGTACGCTTAAGTTAGGTAGCAAATTAAAAGTGATTCCATTTATTTTTAGCTTGGGACTTAGCAATTACTGTAAACAAACTTTACAAAATGTCACTCACTGCAAAATGTTCTGTAGGTTATCAGTACAACCATAGGATACTCAGAAAATAACCGTAGAGCACTATCAAATAGCTTGAATACAAATATTCAGAAAAATAAACCATTTTTGCACAGGATCTATGTTAAGGAAACAAAACCTACTTTGGTATTTTAATTTTTAAAACAAATTAAGTTCAGTTCTACTTCATTTGGTTTATTTCAGCTAATTTTTCAGGCTTGCCCTGAAGTAGCCAGAGGAAGGAGCCTGCTGCGAGGGCTGTCGGCGTGCCCAGAGCTGCCCTGAGCGGGGCTAACTCCCACGGGCACCTGGCACCCCACGTGTTTTAAACAGACCTGGTTATCAACAGTCATAGGAGCAGGACCAGAACTAGGTATCCCTCATATCTAGTTTCATGCCCCAGTCATTAGGTCAGACAGTGGTGCGCCTCCGCCCTCTGTGCCCCGTTGATTTCACAGCCGTCCCGTGCAGGTGACACAGCTCCAGCTGGCAGGTGATGAGCAGGCACAGGAAGCCAACAGGGGCAGCCACAGCCTGGGACCATCTCAGGGCAGCTTCAAACACACACCTCCTGTGAGCTGCACGATCTATGACCACGAGATGAAAATGGATTTCACCAATAGCATTGGCTGCTGTCCTGTAGAAGCCTTTTAAATGGTAAACGAAAGAGGAAGTTCTCTCTAGTTCTTTGAAATAATTATAGGCCATAAAGAGAGAATTTGAGGTTCCGGGTCCAGAGCTGGAGGAGGCATTTACTGACAGAGGGGAAAGTCTGGCTGGTTTCCTGTGCTGTGTGCTTCCTCCAGGCCAGCTCCACGCACCCTCTGCTCAGAGAGAACGTGGTCACCGCTGTCCTCCCGCAGCGTCACAGGAAGAGCATCCACCTGCGCTCTGAGGAATTCTCTGGGAACCTAAGCAGCTGGGCAGCGTGACTGGTTCCCAACAGGGAAAAGCTAGGGAAAAACCCATGAAAGTCAGCCTTAAATACTGAGTGACTAATGTTCTAGGTAAATACTATTATTTATCACTATCCTAGTGCCTCTAGAAAATGAAACTCAAAAGGAAACAGTTTGTGGAAAGCATTATATAGCTTGCAGCACATGCATAAAAATGCCTTCCCCCCCCCCCCCCCCCC